CACTCAGTGCACCCAAAGCACTGCTAAACCCAGAGCACTATAGAATGAATAAAGTTAGCCAGCCAACCAACACAGTGGCTACTGCTGCTCTTTCGATCAGCAAACAGAAGCAATGACTAAACCCTTACAGTAAGAAAAAGAAATACGTCCTGTAAATCATTGCTTATGGTGAGACTCATTCTTGAAAAACTGTTGAAGAATATCTCATCCACCTGGTTTGTCCCACATTTTTTCTTCCCTCAACAGGGTGGATACTTACAAGAGCTCTAGTTAGATTAGAAGAAGTAGATTGCCATAATAAAGACATCAACAGATTACATACTGATAAAACACAGTTTGGACTCCAATTGCTTTAAGGCAGAATTTTGTTCTCTTTGAATTAGGTTTGAACATTATGCAGCGGCACAAAAGAAATACACTTTATACACAGAACCTCAAAATACGTTGGGGAACTCAAAATGCGTTTTAAGCAGGCTGGGGAGGGAAACGATGTTCATACTTCACTTCCTCTTGGAATTGGTTTTTCTCTCATATTCTCTGCTAGCAAACCTTAAAGGGTGTTGCAGGAAGACATCGTTATTTCGCTGATTTGAACAGAAGGCTACTCGGCTGTGCATAGTGCTTATTAGAAGCTTTCTTGAAGAAAAAGAAGATGCTTCGTAGAGCACTGCATATCAAAAGAAAAAATTATTCCTTTTACTAGCTTATCTGCTTATCTCAAAAGGAAGAAATTCATAGGTGGCATTTTTGTTATTCCATTCTATAATCCTCCCCAAATAAAATAGGAACTTCTTTTTTTAAGTGAGTCTTGCTAGTAATACAAAAAAATTTAGTAGTTCCTAGAATCAAGTTTACATTTCTGTTACGTCATCAATTCAATTAGACAACCTTATATATGCCCTGCAATAATGGACCGGAGGTGTTTCCTTGGGGCGGTTCCAGACAAGCCTTTATCCTAGGAGAATCTGCATTTTAAAAACACGCATCTTCCTAGGGGCCCTTCTGCACTCACCCAAGAAAGTGTGTGCTTTCTGGAGTGGGTGACCACTCCAGGAAGGAACGAGGATAAACTGGGGAAGGCAGGAGTGATTTCCCTTTCTCTTCCCCCCCCCCCCACCAATTCTCCTAGCGCATCATTTGTACACGCCAGGAGAACTCCAGCAGCCATCCCATGGAGCCCAGGTGAATTCTTTTCTTTTTTTTACTCTGTTTAGGGGGCTTTTTGGCCTGGAAAACAGTGGGAATACAATCTGGACTGCAGCCCAGACACCGGAAGTAGTGGGATTATCCCGCGCCTTCCAAAAAGGTGCAGAATAAACCCACTATCAAATTAATTAGCCACAAACCAGAGTTTTCCTGTTTTGGGGTGAATTAATTCCAGTTTGTCCAGGACATCATCTGGATAGCCCCCTTTTTATTGTGGAAGTTTCCGCATTAAAGGGGCTGTCTAGATTTGTCCTTGATCTCCAGTTGCTTAGGGCCACCAACCCCTTATATTTGCGTCAATAGCACATTGTCTTCTTTTTTCTTTTCTTTTCTTTTTTTCTGGTGGTATTAGGTGTGGCATTTTTGGGCAAGTTGTTCTTTAACTACTTGTAATGCTGGCTATTCCCACTTGTAGTATATGGCTGCCATGTTACATTTCAAATGAACACTGGCACCAGATATGTTTAATGTAACTCTATTTTAAATTGCTTTTAGGGTATTTGTTGTAACGTTTACTTATGTTTTAGTTATTGAATTGTTTTGTTTTGTTATTTTTCATCAGAATATTTAATTCTTTGTCATAAGCTCACTGTTATAACTATTGCTTTACTGTATATTATTTTGATATGTTTGTATTCACCTGAGGCAATGAATGCTTGCCTTTTTGTATGTATAAACTGCCCTGAGTTCCTTCGGGGGGGGAGAGAGCAGTCTATAAATAAATAAAATTATTATTATTATTATTATTATTATTATTATTATTATATAAGTCAAATCTTCCACTATGACACCTTAATTCAGGGCCAGCCCAATTAGCACTTGACTAGAAGACAACCAGTGAATTTCAGGTGCTATAGAATCATAGAAGAGTTGGAAGAGATCTCTTGGGCCATCCAGTCCAACCCCTTGCCAAGAAGCAGGAAAATCACATTCAAATATGATACATTTCAGAGGAAGAAATTAGCAAACCCAGTTCTGAATCTTCCTTTCCTAAGAAAAATGTATAAAATTAATGGTGTTGCCATAAATAACAGGCAACTTAAAGGTACTTGCACAAACACTCTCAGCCTTACATTGATCAGAAGTGACTAGAAGCTAAAACATAAGTCAGCAAAATGTTTAGACAAAGATTCCAGGAAGTCAACACTTGCCCTGAACACAGGCAGTAGGACATGGGATGTTACTCTCATTCCCTTCTTCAACATTCTGCACATGCTCAATAAGTGTTCATTTCAAAGAAGGGTCTTCTATTGCTTGGATACCATTCGGTAATCTTATCCCACTCAAGACCTTTAGAATAGGAGTAGATTGCAATTCCCATAATCCTCACAACTCCTATGAGCTGGTTAATAGCTCTCTGTTAGTGTTTATGTAAAGTATGTAATAATACATCCCAGGTCATATATGGATTTTATATGAAAGTGCAAAAATAATGCAGGAGATCAGTTTGTAGAAGTAGCAAATTATTAATGATTATATCTTGCTACCCTAATAAAGTTAAGTGATTTTTATCTTTTAAATCCGACTAATTGCAAACCAGCATTTTTTAATAAATCCAGTGACTTGAAAAAAGATATCTTTCCATCTTCATCAGATATTTCCTTTAAAACCATTCATGTAGCAGCTTGTTTGTCGTTTTCTATCTGAAGCAGATGTCGATAGCTGTGTTGACGTTCCATGATCCATTTTACTTTCTACCAGAAAAAAATGAAACAGATGTTCCTAGAAAAAATTGGAATGGGAGGAAATACTAAACAGTTTTCTCATTATTCTGTTTATGATTTGGTGTAGACAGCTGAGTGCACAGTGTTGTTTTCATACATCAAGTTCTGCCTTCTGTAACTACTTGCCAGGTTTTTCATCTCAGTATAAGACAGATAGCTTGATATGATTTTAAATAGGGTTACAATGAAAACAAGAGAAAGAAAGACTATGTGCCAAAAGAAGCTGTCAGCATGCAGACTGATAAATTACTAGGTTGTGTTAAAGGGAGGCAGTCTTCAGAAACATTTTCATATAAGTCTTTCACGCATTGTATCTAAAGTGGAACGTGGTATTCACCTCCCTTAGTGAGGTAAGGGCAGGGCTTTCTAACAGGTGCCTCATTTGCCCTTAACAGTGACAGCACATCAGTAAATCTATTTAGCTCTTAAAATGACCTAATTTCCACATGACACATCAGTCAGATCCACACATCTGATTGATACAAGAACAATTGCCCTTACTCGGAGTTGGCTTTATTTTCCTTCAATAGTGTCATCTCAGAACTAAATACTGTTAGCGGTATAGTTCCATTCACTGCAAAATTTTCAATTGTAATTCTTCAGTATTCTCAAGAAAAAGCTATTCATTTGACATTTATTTATTAAAGTGTTTGTTTTAAAACTAGATAATCATAAAATCATAGAGTTGGAAGAGGCCTCATGGGCCATCCAGTCCAACCTACTGCCAAGTAGCAGGAAAATTACATTCAAAGCACCCCGACATCCAGCCTCTGCTTAAAAGCCTCCAAAGAAGGAGCCTCCACCACTCACCAGGGCAGAGAGTTCTACTGCTGAACAGCTCTCACAGTTGGGAAGTTCTTTCTAATGTTCAGGTGGAATCTCCTTTCTTGTAGTTTGAAGCCATTGTTCCATGACCTGGTCTCCAGGGCAGCAGAAAACAAGCTTGCTCCCTCCTCCCTATGACTTCCCCTCACATATTTATACATGGTTATCATGTCTCCTCTCAGCCTTCTCTTCTGAAAGCTCTTTAAGCTGCTCCTCATAGGGCTTGTTCTCCAGACCCTTGATCATTTTGGTCACCTTCCTCTGGGCACATTCCAGTTTGTCAACATCTCCCTTCACATTATTCCAGATGTGGTCTAACCAAGGCAAAATAGAGGGGTAGCATGACTTTCCTGGATCTAGACACTATACTCCTATTTATGCAGGCCAAAATCCCATTGGCTTTTTTTGCCGCCATATGATATTGTTGGTTCACATTTAACTTGTTGTCCACAAGGACTCCAAGATCTTTTTTTAAACCAGATTTAAAAGATGCTTACACCACCAGAGAATAATCCTGGTTTTAAGCACCAGATGCCATACAAAACAAAACATTCTGAGTTCAAAGGGGAACAAGCCAGTCAGATGACCTTCAGAAGGCTATTCCACAATAGAAATGCCACATCAAAGAAATTCCTATTGTTCATACACACCAACCTATCCTCGTACGTTGACAGGACACACAACATGGCCTCCATTAAGGGTCTCAGATCCCAGAAGGTTTATATGGGATAGGGCAATTCTTCAGGTCTCCTGAACCCACGCTGTTTAGGGCTTTGTGAGTCAGGACCATGATTTCACAAGCAAACTGCAAGCCTGTGCAGTTGATACTGGTTTCCAGGAGAATAAAAAACTGAATGGTAGGCATGCCAGGAATATTTTCAGCTTTTTCCTTTGGAGCCCACCCTTGAAATAGACAAATACGTAGCATGATGTTAGCTGTGACACATTCTAATGTCCAAAGTTGTGGTATTCTTCTCTGTTCGAGCTAGTATAAAGTTTTCCATTGCTGTATCCATACATTTTAAAAAATAGTCAAATGTATCTACTATGCACAGGATGTGTTAAATATGCAAATATGAAAAATGAAGAGGGAGATGTAGTTGTTTTCAAGACTGATTCACTCCTAAAGAAATAATATATTGAAATCAAAACCTATGCTTATATCTTTAGCTAATAGAGAGATTGTGCTCTGCGTTATAATTAATGATTTATTTCCTGATTGGGGTGTCTTTTTTTTCTACTCAGTGAAGTCAGATGAGTTGCAGACAATCAAGAAGGAATTAACTCAGATCAAAACAAAAATTGACTCTTTGCTAGGGAGACTAGAGAAGATTGAAAAGCAGCAGAAGGCTGAAGCAGGTAGGTGAAATGATCTATAGCTCTTGGCATCTTATTAAACCGTTAATTAATTCATTGCAAAGTTATCAATCATCTTGCCAGTTGGAGAGACAGGGGGAATAAACTCAGGAGATACTGTAATTTCAAATGGAGGACTAGAAGGAGGCTTGAAGGAGTTCACTTCTATGAACATCTATAGCAGCTGGCAAGTGATTTAAGACTGGGCTTAAATGACTGAAGGTATACTCTGTACCATACTACAAGTGAATAAGTCCCATTGGGTTGATGGCCTAAATTCAGCTGCTAGACCCAAGTAGACCCACTGAATCAATGTAAAGGGTGCGAGTTGATTTTGCATTCATTGCTTTATGCTCTATTTGAGTTTGGAATAAACTAAATTTAGGTCAAAGAGACTTATTTCTGTGTATATGTGTACACAATTTCTACACATAGTACACTCCAAATTCAATCCCTGATGGCTCCATTGAAAAGATTTGTGTTGCAGGCAGTAGGGAATAGTCTCCATTAACCACTGAAGGACGCACACATTTTGGCCAAACATTTTTTTAAACGGGAGGTTAGAGGGGCCTTGGTGCTTCAAAATAGGTGTCACATGCAAATTCATCGTTTTAACAAATGATGATAGTCTTCTTCTCAATTGGCACTGTGATGTCTTTTGCTGAAAATTAACTGCTGAAAACCTTCACTAAAATAAGGCCCTGGTGTAATTTCAAATAACTTTGATAAGTGGTACATGCAATTCTGTGTATCTTCTTATATCACAATGTTAACACAGGTTAGACAAATTTCAATAAAAGCAAAGTCATGAAGCTGCAAAATAAAGCATTCTTCTTCCAGTAAGCTTTGGATAGGAAATCTCTATTAAGTCAGAGTCAACATGAAAGCAATTATTATGCAAAAGAGCCTCAACGAGAGCTGAGATGACTGTCTAATTTTCATGTTTGGTGAATCCATTCAAATACTAATGAGATATTACAGAATGTGCATTGAATCCTAGACAAATAGGCATCTCAAAGCACATTCTTTACTACTGTGATATAGAAACCTGCTTTGTAGTATGTCAGACCATTGGTCCAACTAAGTGCTTCTGCCAGACACTCTATCCAAGGTTTAGATATTGGTCTGCTTGCCTTAGGTCTCTCTAAAAAGCTGACCACTTTTCCCCAAAGAGGGCACTAGTCCAGTGTTTCTCAACCTGTGAGTCATGAGGGGGGTTTCAGGGGGTCACCAAAGACCATCAGAAAATGCATACCTTTTGGCAGAGGAGGCTGAAGATCGCTCCACCTGTCCTTCTGTTCCTTTTTGGTGTTGGTGAACTACAACTCCCAGAATTCAAAAACAGCCCCCCAACCCCACCAGTATTCAATGTTGGCTATGTAGGTAGTGTGCCAAGTTTGGTCCATTGTGGGCTCGGTTCAGAGTGCTCATTGATTGTAGGTTAACTATAAATTACAGCAACTACAACTCCCAAATGTCAAGGTCTATTTTCTCCCAAACTACACAAAATTTGGGCATATTGAGTATTTGTGCCAAGTTTGGTCCAGATCCATCATTGTTTGAGTCCACAGTGCTCTCTGGATGTAGGTGAACTACAACTCCAAAACTCAAGGTCAATGTCCATCAAACCCTTCCAGAATTTTCTCTTGGTCATGGGAGTTCTCTGTGCCAAGTTTGGTTCAATCCCATCCTTGGTGGAGTTCAGAATGCTCTTTGATGTAGGTCAACTATAAATCCCAGTAACTACAACTCCCAAATGACAAAATCAATGCCCCCTAACCCCACCAGTATTCATATTTAGGTGTATTGGATATCTGTGCCAAATTTGAATGAATGAATGAATGAATGAATGAATGAATGAATGAAAATACATCCTGCATATCAGATATTTTCCTTACGATTCATAACAGTAGCAAAATTACAGTTATGAAGTAGCAACTAAAATAATGTTATGGTTGGGGGTCCTCACAACATGATGAACTGTGTCAAGGCATTAGGAAGGTTGAGAACCACTTCAGTAGTCAATAGAGACCATTCTTGAATCCAAGTTTTTCTCATTATGGTCCTAAACATGGCAGAGAAATATCTGTGCTAGCTCCAGGCTTAGCAGATGAGAGGCCTTTGTTTTGATTAGGTGCTTTTCCAGTTGCTGCTGATGTCTTCAATGTCAGTGAGGAGGTGATTCTGCTCCAAGTTATTAATCTGAACTTTTCAGGTGCTATCCAAGTTGCTAAATCTATTCTGAAGATATGGTTTAGCATCTGAAGTCACCCTTTTAAAGCTCAGAATGAAAAGTCACTAGTTGTTAAGGGATCTGCCCCAATACAGGCCCCATTTTCTTTCTTTGGAATCATCAAAGGCTTTTCACATTACATTACTTGAATAAAACTACTTCCTAGAGAGAGGAATCCACCCACTATGTAAAAATTGGTGGACTTTCTTGTAGATATGCAAATATCAACCCATGCCAGTGAATGGCAAAAGTAGCCATTTTTATAGTAACAGGCCATTTGGAATTCCTAAAAATTCAACAAGTATCTTGGAGAAAATGAGGGGAGGATGGCTGCTCTGATTCTTCCCCTCCTCTGCTCTGAATAATCCATTTGAGCTTTGAATTGTAGCTGAAACAAAACATCAAATTTAAGGTGAGTGAAATGATAAGAAATGATGCCTATTAATTTGGTGCTGCCTTAGTTTCCATGGAGGAACCCTGGAGATACAGAATTCATATTCATCTCAACTTTGAATTATTTAAATGTGTCTAGACAGACAGTTTATTTCTTGTCCTTTTATTCCTGTGCCTTGAATTCCTTATCTTTAATTAGCTGAGAAGTTTTTATGTTGGACTCAAGAATATACTTTAAGAATTGATAACACCTTCCTCTGCTTTTTGTTGCCAGCTTTAAAGCAAATTAATGCAGAAGACGCTGGAGTATAAACACCCACTTTCCTGTTCTTTTATAGAAAAACTTAAAAACAGTGAAACAGACCTTAGTGATGGATACAAAACACAATGAAAACTTCCACTTGTTATCTATGTGTTTGCAGTATTTAATGTAAGCACCCTCTGCTGAAGTCTATTTAGATGTCTTGCCCCCACATTTTACCATTTACAAATCCATTATTTCCAAGTCATTTCATATCACAATGAACCTTATTTATTTCTTATTCAAGGAGCACCAAAAGTGAGGACAATTTCAAAGATTTGTGATTGTATGCTTGTAGTTGTCAAAGAAGACAGACATCTTACTATGTGCAAAGTGTTTAGCATATGAAAGGGAAATTTTTGGATTGCGCCCCAGGGATAAAATACAATTTGCTGTCATCTATCAGAATTTGAATTCCAAGGAAAAATTGCTTTTATTGAGCCATATTCTGGTGTTTTTCTTTTTCTCACAGAAGCCCAAAAGAAACAAATAGAAGACAGTGTCGATTTGATCCAAGATGAGTGCATATCAGAGAATGCTGACAACTCTACCGAAGATCCTATTGAAGGAGGCCTGGATGGAGATGGAGAGGAGTTGACTGATGGCATAGAGGAGGATTTTGATGAGGATGGAAGCAATGAGCTGGTAAATAATTATGAAACAGTATGTGACATGCAGCATGATTACGTTGCAATGACCACAACAGAAATGTGATAGTTATACTGTTAGAAAGTTTAGCAGTCTGTTGGTGAGAAGCTCCAAAATCAGGGCCCTTTGTGCAGAGTCTTTTTTGTTAGATAATTTTCAGTACATTAAAAAAAAGATAAAAAATACACAGACAAACAAAAAAAGAGGAGAAAGTGAAAGAAAGAAAGAAAGAAAGAAAGAAAGAAAGAAAGAAAGAAAGAAAGAAAGAAAGAAAGCCTTTCCACACAGCTCTATATCCCAGAATATCAAAGCAGAAAATCCCACATTATCTGAGTGTGGACTCAAATAACCCAGTCCAAAGCAGATATTGTGGGATTTTCTGCTTGATATTCTGGGATGTGGGGCTGTGTGGAAGGGCCCAAAGAAAGAAAGAGGGGGGGGGCTACATTTGACTCCCAACATTCCCAATGATGGTTATACATCCTACTGTACTAAATAACTTTTCCAATGATAAATACTATTCATACACTTCTTCAGCATAGGTAAACCTTTTTATCTATCATGGCTCTATGCTCTAGAGTCATGGAAGTTGTAGTTTTACAAAATCTTTTTTTGGGGGTGGCGGTTTCACCAAAGAATGATGGTGCTTCACCAAACTATAAATCCCAAGATTACATAGCATTGGACCATGACAGTTAAAATGGTGTCAAACTGAATCTACAGTGTAGACTCATGTAATCCAGTTCAAAGCACATAATATGGGATCAAATCCTGGGATATAGGACTGTGTAGATCCAATCATTGATGGGGTCAGAGAAGTTGGGGATATATGAGAGTAGATTTTGGAGGGCCATTTTTTTTTGTTGCTGTTGTTGTTCTCATGTGCTGAACTCAATTCAGTAGATTACCAAAGATGTTGCGGTGCAGTAAAGGGAGCAAGTGGCTGCAGTCACAGGTTCAAAGTGAACTTCCTAAATTCCAAGATGAATTTTCACAAATATTCTTATTAGATAATTGCTTGAATAGGTTCAGAAACAGTGACAGCTAATGACTCCCACATCAGTAAAACAATTAATCTTCTCAGGATTTTAGCCTGAATGTAGAAGAAGAGCCACCAAAAATGTTGCTGATGCTGTTTTGAGGATAATTCAGAACAAAGACCAGAGTAGATTACCATCCCAAAACATGGAATCTAACACTGTCAAGGGACATCATAAAATGCAGCCCCGTGCTCTTGTTCATTGAATAGGCCTTCAACATAATGCAAGCTTCTGCCAGTTTCATAATCTCATTTACTTTAAAATAACTTAGTTCTCAGTAGAACTCACTTTTAGCTAATATGCTTAGGATAACAACATGTTAGTCTTATTCACAGCACAGTTGGAGTGTAGACCAATTTAGTATTTGCTGAAGGGAATGGGATGAAATCAATTTAGAGTCTGATTTCACACGCATTAACTCAAGTCTCCCTCTGTTCCTTGAGGCCAGCTCTCAAGAAAGCATGCGTAGAACTGCAATCTGCTTCTCTATTGCTTTGTCTTGAAGCCGTTCTTGGTGATAAAATACAATTTGCTTTTCTCTGCTCTATTTGCATTAACAGCAGTCCAATGTCAACAGGAAGATATTCCATCACACAATAGAAAGGGATGTAAATAACCTTGCTGAAGGCAAGACTGCCTTGTCTCAGTGTACTTCTTTATAAAAACTGTAAGGAAAGATCTCTGCTGTTCTCTTGGAAAGGAGTGGTTTCGTATCCATGTTGAAAAGCTTGAGGGATAGAATCAAACCTTGTGGGACTCCACAGGAATGGGCAGGGGTCCAAGCAGCTATTCCTTAGCGCCACCTTCTGGGTCCAACCCTCCACTGCAAGGCAGTGTCCCCAAGTCCCATCCCGGAGAACAGACCCAGAAGGATACTATGGTCGATGGTATTGAAAGCCACTGAGAGCTCCAGGAGGACCAACAGGGACACCCTCCCCCTGTCTCGTTCTCTGTGGAGGCCATCCACCAAGACAACCAAAGTTGTCTTCGTCCTGTAACGAGGCCGATACCCAGACCATGATGGGTCAAGGTAATTGGTTTCATCCAAGAATCCCTGGAATTGATTAGCCACCACCCACTCTAGAACCTTGTCCAGAAAGGGGAAATTAGAAATAGGCTGATAGGTGTTTAAGAGTCCAGGAATGATATTTTTTTTTCAAAATTGCTCTTACAACCACCTTTTTCAGGGATTTTGGAATTTTGCCCTGTCCCAGTGAGGCATTCACAATCCTCATGATCCATTCGGCCAATCCCTCTCTGGCTAGTTTAATAAGCCAGAAAGAACAAGGGTCTAGAGCACATGTGGTCACCCTCACAGCTCCAAGAATCTTGTCCATGTCATCAGGCTAAACAGAATAATTTTCTTCAGTAAGGTTTTATTGGACACCTATAGCAGGAAACTGCATCTTTTCTTAATCACTCAGTCTATTTTGCACTTTTTCAGGGCACCCATAGTCCTGTAAACAAGACAAACTCTATTTGGCAAAACTCTAATTGGACAATATTCCAAAACCAAGAAGCAATGGGCGTAGATCAAGAGGTCTCAAATATAATCCCTGGCAACTCTGTATAGAGCTGGGAAGTAACCTAATGAGTCTTCTTCTCTGTTAGTGGGCCCTGGTAGATTTATCCAATAACAGCAGAAATCTAAGTAACAAGCTGACCCTGCTTAGTTTCCAAGATCAGACCCATTACAAACAGTGAAATGAAGCAAAAGAAACTGGTTGGTCCTTGTCTGGTAGTTCAGCAGACTGGGAAAGCTTTGTATGAATAACACAGAACTTATAAATCAACTTATAAGTCAACTTCATCTAAAATGATGATGGTATTGAGTTTCTGAATAATAGACATTTTATCCCTGCTGTTTCATGCAAATCTTGCATAATAGTTATTTCAGGCATTTGCTGCAGTGTAGGTAATTGCTAGCTATTATTGTGTGAAATGAGATCTGTTCAGATTATATCAAAAATACGATGTGCAATACTTTATTGATTTAGTAGTTGTGACTGCAGGCCTATCTGTCATGGCTTTTCTTTGTTTTCTGTAAATGCTTTGTGTTGATCAATAGATTTGAATCACAGCAAATAATTGCTGCCCTTTGTGAACAATAAAGGTCACATCTGATTAATTACTTGACACAACATAGGTAGATGAGATCAAAAGGAAGGGGAAAATGTCCCGATGAAGAAAAATATGAAGTCAATAATATACACAATTCAGTTACTCTTGAAAGTCATTAGATAAACTTTTGTAATTATCACTAGATGACTGAAAAGAATCAGACACAGTGGGTTGTGCCAAATGGCGTCATTCCACAAGTGCAAAGTTTATGCCATTTACTATTAATGATATTAATGCTAAGAATGTAGTGGGAAGGTGCTTTATATGCCACATCAATTTAATGTCAAGTTTTGGATTAAATTTTTAAGATTTATAAAAAAAATTCCAACGGAGGTGAATTGATAACTCTCCATCCCCTTTTGAAAATATAGGCCTCTCTAGGTCAGCAAGCTCATCTAGGAACACACCCTAGATCAAGAATATTCCCCCATTTACCAACCTGATATTGAGTAGCAGCATTTTCAGCCAAGAGGGAGACTTATTTCAATTAGAGACAATTTGGAGGCAACCCACACTCAATGGCTTCCTCCTCTCCCATGACAATAAGACTTCCTACTATTCCTTGAAGCCCCCTGGTGACACAGTGGGTTAAAACACTGAGCTGCTGAACTTGCTGACCAAAAGGTTGACGGTTCAGATCTGAGGAGCAGGATGAGCTCCTGCTGTTTGCCCAGCTTCTGCCAAGCTAGCAATTTGAAAACATGCAAATGTGAGTAGCTCAATAGGTACCACTTCTGCAGGAAAGTAATGGCACTCCATGCAGTCATGTTGGGCACATAACCTTGGAGGTGTCTGCAGACAACCCTGGATCTTCAGCTTAGAAATGGAGATGAGCACCACCCCCCAGAGTCGACACAACTAGACTTAATGTCAGGGGAAACCTTTACCTTTCCCTTACTATTTCTTGAGAGCCAGCGTGGTTTAATGGTCTCCTCTCTGTTGTCCTTCCATCGGCAGGCTAAAACCTTTTTATTCAGAAAGGCTTTTAGAGAAGAAGACTTTTAAGATCAAGTCAGGGGGTGGTGTGGTTTTTAGCTTTGAAATTTTTTTATGCATTTTAATTGTTAGTTTTTTTAATATCACTGATGTTTAATTCTGTTTTGATGTTTGAATATTTTAAATTGTATTGAAATGCTTTAAATGTAAGTTACTTTGAGTCTCCTTGTGGAGAGAAAAAGTGGGGTATAAATAAACACAATAATAATAATAACAACAACAACAACAACAACAACAACAACAGTTTGAATGTTGGACTACGAGTCTGGAGACCATATTTCAAATCCCTGCTTTGCCATGAAAATCCATTGTATAACCTTGGGCAAGTCCCATAATCTCTGAGGAATGAAAAGACAACCCCCTCTGAACAAATCTTGTCAAGAAAACCTCACTATACAGTCACCATAAGTTGGAAACAACCTGAAGGTACACCACAACAACAAACCCATGCCTTATCCCCCTCTACTCATTACTGTTGTGATGGCTGCTTCCCCTTCCATGCTCCCTGAATAATACATTTTCTTCCTTTTACCAACGGGGCCGATAGTTTTTATAAAGAGTTAACATGTGTGCAAAAAAGCAACCTTCTCCCTCTTGTCCAAACAGAAAATTTAGCCCTTGTCCTTATTTGACACCCCCATGCCTTTTCACCCAAACACCGCACAGTTAAAAGGTAATCAGCAGTTTATTATCAAGAAGTTTATTAAGAAAGGAGTATATAATGAAAAGGGCAGGTTCAGAAATGAATAGGCAATAAGTTATTCCAAAATAATCAGAATAGGCAATCATCAAGGTACATTCAAAATCCAAACTTTGAACATATTTTCAAAATAAAATCCC